TCTTTCGAGATTTTTAACTAGGCGTTAATGCTGGTGGCACAGAATCTTGTTTCACCGATTTCAGGAAATTTGAAGTCATAATTTTCTGAACTGTGTATTCATTGGAAGGCCTCGGATGTGCTCCATGAATTGATTTGACCTTTTCTTCATCAGCTGTATCTCCTCTGGTGTCGGTTCTCAAATGTTTCACCTCACCACATCCTATCTTCTAGTGCACTACACTATCATTTCATATGTATCGTGTGGGCAGTCAAAGCAAAACGCTGTATCACGTGTGATGATCTAGAACGCATCACAACCTGCACGACAACAGACGGAAGCACATCCTAATCGGAGTACACACAATCACACTTACACACACACACCTACGCACGCTGGCCCATTCTGACTACCAACTGATCACAGGGATGCACCAATCAGAAGACGCGGTAGTGGACCCAAATGCTGTTGCGTTTGACTCGTATTCAATCGATTGTAGAAATGCTTGAGAAAGGTCGCCCACGTCAACCGAATCGTCGGATTACAACAACCTATTCCACTGCGCTGTCTCAACTATCATTTAAAAAAAAAGATTCCATATGTCACAGTATCACTCCCAAGAGAGCGAGCGCACTTTCACGAGTAAATAACAGCGTTTTCCATCAGACGATTTATTGTGAACCTCCTTTAAAAACAGTCCCACCCCCTCTTCTCCGAGGCATCCGTCCTAGGGTATTGGTGTACATAACAAGCAATGACTAACACGGCTGGTAGATCCGATGAATTGACATCAGCTGATGAACGTCAACGAAGGCCGCTCAGATGTTGAACCTGTTTCAACAGTGGAAACATTCTCCGGCGTATACAATGTTCGAAACGCAATAAGCAAAGCTATAATACCTACACTTCACAAGAGGGTTCCCGCGTTTTGTTTGACAACCAAAAGTCTTGACACGGGATTTTCAACACGAGTCTTAAGGGAATGCTATTTTTGGTGAAAATGCACCGTGAACGTACCACAAATATTGTCAGCTATTGTTGGTTAACTTTATTTCCTATTGGACACAATGCAAATTTAGGGACGTAGCTCGGACAAGTAAGCTTTGTGGTCACATCTATCAAATTCATATCTACTCGCAGTCATCTCGGATGCGGTTCACTGTACCCAAACCGGACGCGAAGCTCATGTTTGTCTTTATCCTCTTGTGCTGGGGTCGTTGTGGCTTCAAGTGACATTCCAATGCATACCGGTTCATCGAAAACTAGACCGGTGGTTTGGCAACCGGAAGGATCATGGACAAATAGGTCAACACAGTTTGAATATCCACCGGTCACCATGTTGTCAAGTAGGCTATGGCATAGAACCGCAAGCCCTCGGGCGTTGGTATACTCAGTACTAGGTTTCGGTCCATCCTTCACCTGATCGATCCTATGTCACAGTTGCCTGGATTCCACATGATTTCTTTGAGAATGAACAGATCACGTGAGCGCGAAAACCGAAGCATATGGATACAGCTAATATTGTTAATGAACGGGTGGATACGGCTACAACCGGCAGCTTATTCACTGTTTTTATACCAAGCTCCATTGCTAAAATGACGTGCTTCTGGTGTAATCCATTTTGGATACGATAGTCGAATTCACCGTCTCCTCACTATTAGGTAGACAGGTCTTATTCGAGAGCCCTCCCAGCTAATAATCAGAAAATTGTGTTTCAAGCTTGTCGAAAGAGTCACACGTCGAACGGACTGACATTGGTGCGTTTTCTTGCGCACCCAGAAAGCAATTTCACTCTTCCGGACAATTTCTGCTTGTTCTCGACATCGCTTTGGCGCACTGAATTTCCGTTGTCACATAAATCTACTCAACTCCGAACCCGTGCCGAAATACTACCAATCGCTTTCCTTCCACGTGCATCAGTGAACCTGGTGTTGTTGCTTCACTTCTCTGCCACCCACAAGTCGAG